AACAGTCATGGAATGTGGGTCTTAGCACAGAGTCTTCAGAAAGTATAAGGGTAGGGGGCTTCGAGAGGTCTCAAGACCACCTGAAAATCTATCTTAGGATGAGTCTCGCTGGGCACTGGGCAGAGAACTGGGGAAGGTCTCTAGGAGAGGGTGGGGTTGAGGGTGATGTGCAGAACAAACCAGGTCCCACATATTCAGGGCAATCCTTACTTCAGCCATGCTCAGGTGCTGGGGTGAGCCTTTCCTTACAGCTGAGCTCTGGGGCCGAGGGGTCTTCCTATGACCCTGGTTCAGCATTTCTCAGTAATGAGCTGGAGAGAATTCTACTACAGGGTGCAGGGCTGATATTTCAGACAGAACACTAAGTGGTTTCTCTTCACCTCCCTCCCATTTAAAGAACTGACAAGGAGGAGAAGAAAATTAACCTGGAAAAGCCCCACTCACCCCCTCTGAGCTCTGAGGCCGACTCGATGTAGGTGAAGGTGTCCAGGTTAATGATATCAATCACAGGGCACACCACCCGTGTGTAGTCCTGTAAAACAGAGACCTTGTGCTCTATTTGTGGGCACCAGCCTGGCAGGGAATCAGAAAGCTTAGTAGGGCTTTGCCCTATATAATATATAAGGCTTATGACCTTTACCAAGCACTGTCATTTCTGCATCTCAATTTCATCACCAATGCAGTGGGCACTGGACACATGACCTCTCTGGTGCTGATGCTTACATGCAAAGAACACTTTGACTTGCCAGAGGTCTTGTCAGCCACACTGGCTGCATGAAGATGGTAGGGGATGGCTGGGGAGTATTACACAGAGAAAGGGGCTCCAGCTATCCCTCACCACTGTCAGTGGGCAAGGAGGCAGACAATACGGTCAGCTGGAAATCCCAAAAAGTAAGCCAAGCATTCACAGTGAGAGCCTCCTCCTATGCATATGGTTCTAGACAACTTCACAGAGCTGTGCCCTGCAGCTGGATACTCACACATCTGTACCCTCAGCTCCAACATCCTGCTTAGCTCCCAGCCTCGGATCCAGTATGCACAGGCCACCTCTAAATGAGTTCACTCAGCCCTTCCATGGTGTTTTCTTCCCCCTCACAAGCTCCTTTCCCTAAATGCCTTATATCTGTTAACAGATCATCACATAATTCCCTCCCCTAGCTCCAAATTAAGCATTACTCTACCCAACAACCAGATCATGCCCTGCTGGTGCTAACTTCAAAATGGCTCTTTGAATTCACCCTGCCTCTCCCGCCTCCTCTCATGTGTAGAACACAGCACCGGGGTCCTAAATTCCTCTCCATCCTACTCATCATCCTGTCCTTTCATTCTTCCTGCAGCCATCAAAGCTGCCTTTCTGATACGTAATGCAACTGTGCCACAGAACTAACTTAAATCATGCCTAAAGTAAGGCACAAATTCCTCCAAATGGCATCCAAGACCACCACAACCGGGCTTGCTTCCACCTATGAGTGAGAGCAGGCAGGATCTGTCGGAGTGGAACAAAGGTCACATGAAGGTAGGGATGGGGAGGACAGAGACCCAGTGCATCATGGGTACCAGGATACAGTCAGAAAAGAAGAGTAAGTCCAGGCATGGTGGTGCCTATTTATAATTCCAGCTATCTGAGAGGCTAAAGTAGGAGGATCACAAATTTAAGGCTAGCCCTGTGTTATGGTTTGTTTGTGGCCCCTGGGCCTCATGCGTTTACATTATGCATCTGTGATTGGTTCATTGTCTAGTGCTTGGATTGATGATGTCAGTGCTACACCCACATAGGGGTGGAGCCAGCATACAATGTAATGGCAGGAAGAAGGTGTGTCTCGCTTTCTTGCCGGTTTCTGCCTTGCTGTTTGCAGCCTCCATGAACTGCAGCCCCGCCGTGCCACCCTGCCTTGGAGCCAACTGAGTATGGACCGAAACCTCCCAAAACTGCAAGAAATAAACCTTTCCTTTCCCAACTTTGGGCATCAGGTATTTTGTCTCATTGACCAGTAAAAAGTAACTAAGACACTCTGGCAAGTTAGCAAGATCTTATTTCTTATTGATTTTTTTTTTTGGGGGGGGGGCTAGGGATTAAACTCATGACCTCTCACTTTCAGGGCAGGCATTTATGCCACTGAGTTAAAACCCCAGCTCTTGAGCTAAAACCCCAGCCCTGTAAGACTTCATTTTAAAAAAAAAGAAAAAGAAAGAGCAAACTCTATAGTGTTCTATAGCACCTAGGGGAAATATAGTTTATAATAATTTACTGCAATATAGCCAGAAGAGAGGATTTTGAATGTTTCCAATGCAAAGCAAAGATAAATATTTGAAGTTACAGAAATACTAATTGCCCTGAATTGCTTACTGTTCATTGTATACATGTATCAGAATATCATACAGTATCCCATGAATATGTACAATTATTGTGTCAATTCGGAAAACAGGCTCACACTGGCTGTATCCCCTAGGCCACCCACTTATGGGTATAAAAACCATACAGGGAGAACCTTCAAAATACGCAAGCAAAATTGCCAGTTTCTGTGGGGCTTCAAAGGCATCACTGATGGTTTTTTTTTTTTCAAATTTTCCAGTGGGTGAACCTAGCCTGGCCAAGGGTAGTGTAAAGCAGCTGTGACCAAGGAGACCCTCACCTGGCTCGCAGGGAACCAAGCAGCCGGAGGAAGCCAGCCGGACTCAGGGAGCCAGCCAAGCTGGCTGTCCCCTCCTCACACCAACTGTCCTTCGGCCAACACAGGCAGGAACCCCTGCTTCTCCTTGAAGGCATTTAATTTCCAGGCTCAATCTTTCCCCTAAATGAGGTTGTCTTTTTATTTTAAGCTCCAGAGTCACTGAGTGCCTGACTCTAAGTTCACAGACTTAATTTGTCTTACATGTGATTGGCTCTGACAGTGACCAGGCACCTTTGAAAGCCAATAGGCCCATGTGGAAAGCAATGCTCGTTGCCAAGGCAGTGCTGCTCCCTCTGGGGTGGCACAGATGCTTCATTCACTATCGGCACTGCACCTGCCCAGCTGCCACAGTGCCTGTGGGCTTGTCTATGGGCGTTGTTAGTATGTGTCTGTGTCTCAATCTTCACTGTGTCCACACGAAAATATACACCAACATACTCCCAGAGACGCCCTGGTTGTGAACTCTGAAATGTACTCAAGTTCAGAGATAGCTTCAGAAGTCTGACTGTGAGTTCTGGGGTTTCTGCAGCTGTACCAAGTCCTTCTGTTAACCCTCATACTATAATAAATACTCTATATCAGACTTGCTGATGTATAGGTCTTTCCAGCAAACTACTGGGCCAAACAGTGGTCCTCGGGACGCTCACACTATAATCCTGTTTTGTTATGATTTTTTTTTTTAAATCTTTCCTTACATTTGAAAAATAGAAATGCAAGACTAAGTTCTAGCTGCTCACTTGGGCCATGGGTCTCCTGGAAACTACCCATGAGCCCAGCCTCCGGGACTGTGTCAGGCTCCTGGGCTCTTCCTGCCCGTCTCTTTGTCCTGGGATTGCTGTGACAGCCAGGCAGTGAGGGCTCTTCAAGGTCCAGTGCTATGTGGAGTGCTGACCTTTAAAAGGGACTGCAGGAAAGCCACCAAAGCTAGGACAGAGCTCTCCATGTGCCCAGCATGGGCGGCTGTCTGCTCCACTGCTGTATCTCTCAGTCCCAGCCTAGAAGATATTGTTGGTGCTGGAAGCACACAGCTGAGTCATTACACTAAGCAGGGTGACCTTTCTGGAGGCCCAGAGATGAGGCCTCCAAATAGGCAAACCTGTCACAGGCTTCTATCAGAGGCCTTGACCCGCAGGACCCAGAGGCTGTATCTTGAGAGCAAAATCTACCTCTAGGCTCAAACAGCCAGCTGGAGGGATCCCTGACAGATCCTAGATTCCACCTCCTTCTGTCCTCCCCATGCAATTCTAGGGTCCTCTGTCTCCCTTACCAGGGGCAGCAACAGAAGCTGAATGGATCAGACAGTAGCCATCAGTCACCTCGGCTCGCTGCCGTACCCCTGTACCCCTCGTTTCTTCAGTGATTCACATAATTAACCACCTGGAGAGGGGGTCTCCGATGCAGCCACCAGCACCCCCACCAATCTACTGGGGTTTAGAATCTGTGGTGGGTACAAGAACAAGTGAGACCTCACAGTCTAGGGAAGGTGGACAGAGAGTTAAATGACTTCACTTTGGGGTACAGACACAGCCTGGTGCTTCTAAGATGGCCTGGAGGCAGGGGGTGGGGATGAAGAACAGTAGGGAGGTCTCAAGGTGGGGGTGACACCACAGGGCAGGGACAAGTTGGCAGACACTTGGGTTCCTATTCTGGTTCTGCCATCCAGAATACATGTGACCTTAGCAAACTAGCACACTCTGTGGGACTCCCATTTCCCCAACTATAAAAGGAAGGCAAATTATTATTTTCAAAAGGAGCCTGCCTTTTAAACAGGGATCCCGTGAGGAACAAATTAAAGTGTGTAAGAAGGCACTGAAGATTATGCGAGCTGTTATCGATATAAATTTACTGAATGCTAGAGATTAGGATTTCTTAGGATCTTTCTGCTAAAGAAATATGTGGGTGAGGGGGGAGGGGAGAAAGCGATGTGCTCAATAAGGAAAAAAGAAGAAACCTGACTTGGTGCTGGTTTCCAGTCTCATGATGTGGTGGGAGGAAGAGAAGGGAAATCAGGGAGGTTTTCAGGACAGCTCAAGGCCAGCCTTCTTCTTATCTCTTTCTATTTTTGAAAATCCCAAACTCCAATTACAGCTTAAAATTTCCACTTCCCCTTACAAGATCAAATCATGTTCTGTGCTGAGACAAGACACACAGACAGGCACCCACACTCCCTGCCCCCACGGAGCTGTCTCAGGGAGCTGTTGCAGAGGATCAGAAGGGAGGGGCGCAGGGAAATCGCTGCACCCCTTGGGGGCCACTGTGAAGGGCAGAGCCTGACCCAGTTCTGGGGCTTGTCTGGTTAAGCTCCTTGCGATGAAAGTTTTAGTTCAGACAGTGGTGGAAAGAAGGGAGCTTAGCGTGTGAGGCTGAGCTCAGTCTTGGGGCTGACTGACTCCTGAGAAAGAGAAGGAGATGGAGGAGGAAGAAGAGGAGGAGGAGGATGAAAAAGAAGAGGACGAGGAGAAAGAAAGGAAAAGTGTTTAGCAGCAGAAAGGCAGCACTCACTTTCAGGGAGGTGATCAAGGCTTTGCCCAACCAGCAGGTAAGCAGCTAAGGTCGACCTCATATGCAGGATCAAGACCTTTTGGTGCGGAAGGCTTCTGAGATAGGCTCAGAGCCACTGGGACCTGAAGGACTTCATAGGCTCATTAAGGTCACACCAAGAAAGCAAGGCTCCCTTTACACATCCTGTGAGGACACAGCCAGCCTGGGGCTGGGGGTGTCCCTGTGCTGACACATCAAGTTCCATGTAACCCAGGAATTCTAGTCTTCTGTCTACATATCCCAAAGAATTAAAAACAGGCTCTCCAAGGGGGGAAAAAGGGATTTGCACTAGAAGGTAAAGGCAGAAACAACCTACACGCCCATCAATGGATGCATACACAAAATGTAGTCCATATACACCACAGAATACTATAGGTCATTGTACTGAATACTGATACATCTACGGCACACACTAGGACACTTGCATGTTAAATGGAAGGAGCCAGGGTCCAAAGGCCACGTGTTCGGTGATTCCATTTATATGAAATGTACAGAATAGACAAAGCCATAGAGACAGGAGTAGATTAGTGTTTGTCAGGGGCAGGGCGAAGAAGAGAAGGAAAAATGTCCGCTAATGAGTGTGAAGTTTCCTTTTGAGGTGATGAAAACGTTTCACAATTAAATTTTGGTGAAAGTCTCATGATCCTGTGAACATACTAAAATTGCTGAATTGTTCACTTTGAAATGGGTTAAATGGTAAATTTTGCTTTGTGTATTTAATGACACACATGCGTGTGGCTCTGTTGGCTGGGTCCCCTGCTATAATGGCTGCCCCCAAAGGGCTTGGACATGGTGCTGAACGAATCTCTCCCAGACTCAGGTCAGTGCCCTGATCACACCCAGAGCAGCCTCAGTCTCTCCAGAGCCCAGCTGTATGATCTTCTTTTTTGGTTGCTCAGCATGCACTAGAAACATCTGCCATTCTGGGTAAGGGGCAAATTACCTTAAAGACACTGCCTAGAAAATGCCTATGTGTAAGAGAAAAAAGCAGGATACAAAATTGTGCCAATACAATCTAATTACAACTATATAAAAAGACATTCTCCTGAAAGAGTAAAAGACCTTAATTGGAAATAAATGCTAACAGTGTTTACTGTCACTTGATAGAATGCTGACTGATGAGTTTTCCTTGTCTTAAACAGTGGTACCTCGGTTTACAAACTTAATTTGTTCAGTGATTTTTGGAAAACCATGGCCACGTTTATATTTGGGCAGGAAAGCAGGCCATGGTCATGTTTGCATCAGATGCAGAATTTGCAAACAAAAACAACATTTGGTGAATATTTTTGTTTGCAAACCAAATTGTTTGCAAACAAAAGTTGTTGATGAACTGAGGTACCACTGTATTTTCCAAGACCTCTACACTGACTGTGGGTTTGGAGATGGAAAGTGAGAGGTTCCAGCCTTCTCTTCCTCAGCCTCTCAAAAAGCTCTATTATACTCTATTCCTGGGTTTCAAATCTGCTTCTTTTTCATAAGGTCTTCGTTTAAGTCAGCAACACGTCCTCTCTTTTGTATTAAGTTGCCACAGACAGAGATGCTATTTCCAACACCGCCCCACCTTAGCACCCTAGATTCCTGAGCCTGCCTTGTGTTCTGCTCCCTTGACCTTCAATTGTTTGCACACTCCAGGTCTCCCTAGCTTCCAAGTGGTGGAAGCAGGACTTCACTGGCCCTGGGCTGTTGTCAGTAATTCACAAGCAGAAAGACCTTTCCAGAAAGGCAAAGGTCCCCACCCACTGAGTTTCCCACATTTCTTCCTCACAAAGAACTTCCTTGTTCCTAGAGTTTGCACCTCTCTTCTTGTGGTCACCTCCTTCCCTGTCAGTGGGGGGACTTTCTAAGTAGGTGTGAATTCCTTTTACACAGCCTGTTCCAGTGCTATGTAAATAACTGCTCAACAAAAGCCTGCTAATTAGTTTAGGGACAGGAAGTAAGCTTGCTTTCCTCCTGATTCCAACTGTCTCACCACCTCCACACAACTGGTTTCTTATCATTTCTAAACACTGAGTACCTACTCCATAGCAGTTGGAGTGGCCCCAGGAAGGGCTGGCACCCCACTAGGTCTGTTATCTGTTAGACATGTGCCTGTGGTGAGTACTTACTGCCTGGAGTGACCCTTGCCAGGACTTCGGTCAGGAAAGGTTTTCTGGAGGAGGGGCGATTTGGATAAATCCCTAAGGAGCAGAAGGTTAATGGAGAGCAGGGAAGGGCATGGAGGGATGGGAAGGGCAGTGGGAATGCCAGGGGCATGTAGAGAACAAGCATGCTGTGTTGGGGTGGGGGCTGCAGATTGGCATGTAGATGGAGGGGCACATTCAGCAGAGCCGCGTGCCCAGATGCATGACCTAGCATTTCCCAGCTCAGACCACTTCACCACTGTCAAAGGAGGAATTTTCTAAACACCACAAAGGCAATGACCCCTCCCAACCTCAGGAAAGTTGTCACCGGTGGGATTTACCATTTAGGACCCACGTGGAACTTGGTAAACCCGCCAAGACCTGGGAAGGTTCCCCATCTCCCTTCTGAACACTTTGGTCTTTTGTCCCCTGTACTGTCACTGAAAGGTTTTTGCTCCAGACAGGACACTGTAGTCTGTATAGTCTTGGAGGTGGAAACAAGGGGCTCTATCTTGAGGTCATCTTTCCGGCCCCTAGGTAATTCAGCAGTGGCTTGAAATGAATACCAATGGGCTACCTGTGCATCACTAATGCCCCTTAGGTACCACCCCCAAACCTAAGCTACATGTATGTCCCCACACCACATGTCTGGCGGAGAGAATGCCAGACCCCGGAGGATCAGGGTGGTCTCTCCCCACATTCTTAAAATAAAGGTCGCTTTTATTTCATACTTCTTATCTTTTCAGCCGGCCAAAATCCTGTCAGATGGTTTCCTTCCACACTGAAAATTCTATCAGTCACCATATAGGCAGGAGTTGAGCTGCTCTTACAAAGAACAAGAAGTAACCATGCTACAAACGGGTGATTCCCAAGCATCTTGAGATGGAGGTACCATTTAAGGGATATCGCCAAGTTATAGAATAGTCCTGAAATGGTTTCCTCATCTGTGAAATGGGTACATTACAAACACATCATCCCTACCTCATGGGGATGGTTGTTCAAGTCAATATTTCAAGAAATGCGATACACAGCACAAACACCAGTGTCGATCACAGTGGTGGGCAGCCTTTTAGAGGCAAGTACCCAATCTGTAGCCCCAAACCTCCTTATTTACCACACAGTGCGCAGACTCTAATTAAACCTCAATACCCCAGTTTCACTTTAGAAAAATTACATTAACATCATTTGTCTTAAAAGAAATACAATTCATGCGTGTGCCAGAGGTTCGACACCACTGTCTACATAACGTTAAGTGTGTTCTGTGGATCAGCAGAAAAGTGAGCGGGCTTTTTAGAATATGAAAAATTAAATCTTTTCTGTTCCCAGAGAAGTAACCTAGACATACAGAATTTTAGAGCAACTGAAGGGCCAAGCAGGGCAAGGACTTCCAGATCCCTCAGCAGCAAGGTTTCCTGCTGGTGCAGGACCTTAAGAAAGGGTGACACGTGCGTGGGAGGGAGACAGGCGCCTCAGGAACTGGGCATGAGGCCTGGTTCATTCTGCTGCCTATTCCCCATCAAAGGTACCGATGACAGCTTCCTTTCTGGAACCTGCTGCTGTCTGGGGCCCAGGAAACTCAGTGTCACATAGCACTCCTGGAAGCCCAAACTGCAGGCCTGCAGGGGCTGATGTTATGATCAGTCCCACCAGTCCGCACCCCATCACTGACTGCTGTGTGACCGGGGCAAGCTGGTTTGCCTTCGTTCCTCATCTGTGAAGTGGGCACACTCTGTATCCTGCCCAGCCTCCAGAGGAAGCAGGTGGGAACTTCAGCTCGGCTCCTCAGCCACACCCACCTCTTTGACCCTGTGCAGCAGGGGCTGGAGCCAGTCCCTGTTCACCTCGCAATGGCTATCCAGGAATGTCAGAGTGGTACCCTGGGCAATCTCAGCACCCCGCATCCGGGACCGGACCAGACCTGCATCAAGGACAAACAACCAGCTGGATGTCAGTGCTCTCTGTCATGCAGTAAGATCACAGAGACCACCCACGCCCCCTTGGATGCCAAGATGTACACCAGCCACCTCCCAGCCCCGCTCCCCCCTCACGCCTGAGCCCTGGGGGCAGCACTGACCTACCTTGCCGCTCACCGTTGCGTAAGCACTTCACTTTGGGCAGCCTGACAAGCTGCTTGCAGTCATCAGCTGCAAAGACAAAGGTTACACAGTGAGAGCCCAGGCGTGCAACTGCAGGCTGGTGAAGGGTCAGAAGGCCAGACCTGCTCACTGTCCCCGCTCCTGCCGCAGTCTGGTCCCGACTCCCGGGAGTGCCTGGGCTATGGAAGGAACTGCCGGCCACTGCTGTTCATTGTACAAGAAGGTGGCTCATTCAAGACCAAGTGAGCCCAACAGGGCCTCTCGGGAGCGGGTTGGCCCCAGGGATCACCTATATACTTGCTTGAAAATTTTACAAGTCTGAAATCTTGGCACATTTCTCCTCTGATCATTAAACAATGAGATCAGAGTCTTGTTCACTTCAGTGGGTCTGGTCCAAACTGCTAGGAGGCCAGGAACGGAAGAAATACATTTGGGACTTTGTTTTCAGGTTGCAGAGGCTCTGTGTGAACAGACTGGACAGCTTCTTCCGTGCAAAGAGCTGTGTAGTGGAAGGATGGTCTCCAGCCTGCAGCATGCTGTGCCGTGATGGGTGAGAGACCCCTCCTAGGACCTGACCTACTGCCCCATCACCTCCTTAGCTCTCCAGTTCCCTGGCTCTGAACTCCACACCGAGCTCCACCATTTTTGCTTCATTTGTTTACCAACCAGGGCCTCTCTGCTTGCTCTGGGCTCTTAACAGGCAATGGAGGAGTCTTCTATAGCATCCTCTGGGTAAGGTCCTAAGTACTCTGCACGTATTAACATAGTAAATCCCCATGTAAATCACATATACTACTTAATCATCTTTATTTATAGACAAGAAAACTGATACACATGAGGCTAACAATTTGCATAGAACTTGAGCACAGGCAGTCTGCCTCCTGAGCCCAGGCTCTAACCACTAAGCCATTTTACCCAGAACAACCTCACAGCATTTCCTTCTCTTGCCTCAGTGCCAGGCTACTCCCTAGGTCTCCCCATTTCTGTGCTATTCTGCACTGGAGTGGAAAAGCAGATCAATGAGCTCCAGAACTGGGGGTACAGATCTGTTTACCCTGAGTCTTATGGTTTACCTCTGCATTTCTCTCTGTGATTCCAAATCACAAGGGTCAGTTGCCAACGTTTGCACAGTAGCCCCTAGCATCTGGGCTGGTGTGAGTGGCTCTGCTCTCCTGAGACTTGGAGCTGTCCCCAGTGCCATCTTTTTGTCCCTGGTTCCCCAGCGGGAAGACATGGTTCCACCTGGATGTGGCTGACTGCACCGAGCTGCATTCAGGCTGCTGGGACAATGGCTTTTGAAAGGAAGGGACTGAGCTACCAACACTTGAACCCTGACAATGCTTCTGTAATTACTGTGCCTATCAAGCTCCATACACAGATGTCTGGACATCATAGCATGTTTTCCTTGGGGAAAGTGAATCTGGAGTATAAATATGCTTTGCTAGGATGGTTAAGGGAGGTAAGAGACAGGAGATGGTGATGACCAGCATGTTGGGAGACTGGAAGGCAGTCTCACTGTGTTATGGCCAGGAGGGGGGATGTACCACTGAGGATCCCAAAGACAGGGCCCAGTCAGACTTCCCCAGGAATGAAATGGAAAGAGCTGCTAGCCTCAGCTCAGATCGGCAGACTAATGCACCATTAGGATCAGGAGTCTCTAGTGACGGGCACGGTTTTTGGTCTTGGGTCCTAGTGATGATACACTGAACATCTGGTGTCTCTTCCCACATCCAGGAATATGGATTCAGGGTGCAATGGCACATGTACACATGTAGGCTACACACACACACAGCGTGCTCATAGGCATACAAACATGTGCCCATGTGTGTGCACAAACGCACTCACACACCAGCCAACCCAATGAAGATTTAGCTAGTCAGGTCCTTGAAAACTGACAGCACAGAATCCAAGAAATTGCTTCTCAAGTGGAAGGTTTATCTCCTTGAGCCCAGGCACAGATACTCAGTCTTCCATGCTTCTTGCCAACCTCTGCTTCCTGCCATCCTCAGAAAATCAGGGGACATCATTCTGCCTGTTACACAGGGATGGGACCAGCCATTTGTGCTTACATTGCTAGTGAGTGATATTACTTACGGTCATTGCTGAAATCATCCACTAATATGATTTCTTGGATCAAATGCATAGGGGTTCGGTTTAACACACTGTGAGAGGGAAAGAAGGGAAATCATTATGACTTCCAGTGGCCAAATATTAACCCGAGGTTTAAATAGACATCATTGTATTGTGTGAAGGCTCAGAGCTACCAAAGAACCTGTCATCATGTCACACTGCTCACCAGTGTGAGCCAGCAGGGATGAAATGTTGCCTTCTCCATCTTAGTGAACACTAACACCACCCACTGAGCCACCCAGACAGAAATTCAGCCAACAAACCCAACAACCGTTTCTCTCCTGAAATCCCTCGTCAAACTAGGAACGAGTCTGGCTGGGTCTATTTGAAAATAAACGCTGCTGACCTCACTTTCACCTCCCATACCTCTGCCCTGGTTCAGTCTCTTCTGTCTGGTTTACTGCAGCAGCCCTGACCGGCTCCATCATCTCCCAGGTGCAGGCCTCCTTGTAGACTTATATTGAGCCTCTAGATGCTCACTAATGCAACTAAAGTGACAGAAACCCACAGCAGCTTCCCTCCCAGTGCCCCAACTCCTCGGCATGCCCCCAATAGCTTCCTGCCAGCTGAAGGGGGCTCACATTCCCATGTACCCCACATCCAAAGCCAGTACCTGGACACATCCTTCCTGCTAACTCACAACTGAGAGCCTCTTCTCTGACTACCTGAAACAGCTCAATGCTATCCACAAGGACCAGTTCAAATGTCACTTCCTCTCTTAACAGTTTTCCAGTCTACGTAGTGAGAATTAATTGCTTTTACCTCAGCAGTTTGCATTGGGAGCCTCCCATGCTTTTTATACTTCTTGATTTTGGCAGTTGGTTCTGTGCCTCACCAGTTCCCTCTAGATGGTGACACCCCACAGCAGGAGCCTGATTGACTTCTTTCTGTATCACCGAGAGCCAGCATAGTGTCTTGGCTGGGAACTATTCCTTCGAGGGATGTTGAGTGCACAGCTACTGTGTGCCTTGTGCTGGCCACAGAATGAGGAACACAGAGAAGTGAGCTCTACCCTCTGAAAACTTGTGGTCCAGCGGCTACTCGCCAAGGGCTGTGTAGACTTGAGCAAGTTACTTTAGTGCTTTATAGCGAGGTCTCCTGCCTATAGCATGGAGATAATCATAGGAGTATCTACTTCATGGAGCTGTTGAAAAAACTAAAGGAGAAAATGTATATGAGGCGTTTAGTGGAACATGTGGCTAAGTGTAACTAAGGGATGATAAATAGAGCAATTATCACTATTTTGTGCATCATTAATGATTTTTTAAATTGAACGTATGTTAGTTATGCCCTCCTGTGCTGTGAATCTCTACTCCAGGGGCAAAGCTGGATTTCTGTATTAATTTGGGGGCTCCAGGCTGATCGTGATGGCCATATCTCACCCCTACAGCTCATGGGTTCTCAAAAACATTCCTGGATTGTACCAGCCATCACAGGAAACCCAGAAGCCCATGGAGGTTGGGAAGGGGGTTCAGAATGGGAACTGGGGAGGCACCGTGAGCATTTCTCCTCTGAGGCCCACTCTGAGCCTGTTTTTGGTGCAGCCGCCTAACTAAGCAGGATGTAGCCTCTCCTGGAGGGGAACTTTGCCTGAAGCTACCTTTATTTATGAAGCCTTAATTCTCACCATGGCAACTAGTGTAAGGTGGAGAGAAACCCAACACAAGGCCCCAAACCTGCTTTCAGAGTCTATAGGGAGGAGGGGACACGGGTGGGTAGGGGACTGCAGCATCCACAGAGGCTGGTAGGAGGAGATTGCTCAGCTCAGCATGATTGTCCCAAAGAAAACACAGCAAACCCAAACCACCAGCCCCCTAATCAGGGTGGGAGGGGAGAGGGAGGCAGACAGAGGAAAAAACCTGCTTGAAGAATAACCTCTAATGAGGTTTGATTACGGCTGTAGCTTCTGCATTCGATTCCCCCAAATCCCTGCTGGCTCTTTGAAATTCAAGAGTTCTCGCCTGTGAACATCAAAAGGTAAATCTCGTGCAGCTCTGCGCTGGTTGAACTGAGGGATGATTAGTGAATAAAAAATGTCCAGGGTTTAAAACAGGAGAAAAAAAAAAAGAATCGTCAGCAGTAAGTGCTAATTAGACCATTTCCTGGTAACACCTGGCTTGTTTCTGCTCCTTTATTCAGAGCAATTGAAATGACGGTGGGGTCTCCCTAAAAGTGGCTTGGGGCTGGCAGGGCCTGAGATGGGCAGATGCTCTGGGTGCCTGGGGTGGCTGTGAAAGGAGAAGGCCAGTTCCAGCCCTGGGAACCTAGCTTGACCTGGTTTTGGATGATCCTCCAAGGCCTGGTGGGTGAATCTCTACTCCAGGGCCAAAGCTGGGTCTCTGTTAATTCGGGGCCTTATCTCACTTCTGCACACTCCCATGGTTTCTCAAAAAGCATTCCTGGACTGTACCAGCCATCACAGGACACCCTTCTGCACTCTACTTCATTCTCCCCACCCAAACCCCGATTGCTCACACCCCCATCAGCCCCTCTGCAGCAAAACAAACCCCTTTCCCCCAGGGCTTGGTTAGCACAGGCTTTTCTCCGCTTCACCCAGCTTGGGTGCCCCATTTTTGTCCTACAGTGCTCAGCATGGGCATAAGCATTCACTTTATTGGCACACACAGTATGAGCCACACTCTCCTGGGATTGTTCTGGAAGTCAGTCTCTTATCAGCAGCTCACCTCTCTGTAGAGGGGCAGCTGCACCTTCGCTTTCTGCCAGCTGCAACCTAACTGTGGGGCCCGCCAAGGGGCCTTGAGAGCAGCACAGTGTGAACTCACAGAGCAGAGTGGCCTCACTACCTACTAGCCATGCTGCAAGAGAACTAGGCCCCCATTCGCTCCCAGCCTCCTTTCTTTCTGTAATTACCTTTCCCTTGTAAAAGCAGCTGATATTAATACTTGACCTACTTCACAGGCTTTTGTGCGTATGAAATGAGGAGATGTATTTGAAATTGCTTCATGAACTCCACAGTGCTATATGCAGGCAAGTTTTATCAAATGCTCCATAAATACCAGTTGAATGAAGACCCGAGGCCACTGACAGTTGAGTTCTGGAGTGAGACACACTGGGGTTCAATTACTATGTCTGGGCAACCCCACTTGCCTGCAGGAGAGCTCCAGTCTATTCTGAGACTTAAGGCACCAGTATTTCCTCTGCAGCATGAAAGAGGCTTAACACAGTGCGTGGCACATGGTAGCTTCCCCCAGGCTGGGGACACCAAGGATAAGAAATGCTGAAGCTACTGATAGCCACGGGCACGATGCGCAGCTGTTTTCAAAGCCCATCCCTAAGCCAGCCGCATCACTGTCATCTGGGGACTTGTCAGAAATGCAAGTTCTTGGGCCCTGCTCTGGACATACTGAATCAGATGCTCTGAAACCATGTTTTAATAAGACTACCAGGAGATTCCAACATCTGATTTTGTTAGACAGTTGCCACTTCAGAACACTACTATCTCCAGGGTGGAGGCTCTGGGGTGTCACCACCTGTACAAGCTCCCTAGGTCCCAGGCATTGCTCCCAGTCCTTTAGCGATCTGCATTTAGTGTCAGTCTTCTCCACAATCATGCCAGCAAGTTAGTACCGGAAGTCCCTGTTCTGCAGAAGAGGAAATTGAAGCAGAGAAACTAAGCAGCTTGTACAGGGTCACACAACCGGTCTAGGAAGAGCTAGGCAAATCTAGCCCCCGAATCCAAATTCTGAACCATCTGCACCAGACAAAGGGCCCCTCTAGATCTGGGATATTACAGAACAGCAACAACAAAAATACACAACGGTGAGAATAGTCAATGAGCAAAGTGATTGACTGTATACACTCCTGAGCCCCTGGGGAGGTGTAGGGCTGAAGGGTGCCCCAGAAAGACAGCACTGGTTCTCACATAAGCACAAGGACTTTCAGTGACATGATTTAAGATGACTCATTCTTCAGGGCAGACTTCCTTTCTCCTCGTGTAAGTCCTTAATGAGTCAAGACTATGATTCTCTGCCCCACCCCATCCATACACCCCATCAGGTCCCTGCCTGGATCTGAAACCCTATTCCCAGCCCTCCCTACTTTTTTCCAGCATCTTGTAAGAGCCAATCTTATGAGAACCTGGTGGCAAACAGATTCAGAATTCTTCAAATTAAAGTGGTATGGATGACTGAAATCAAATTAGGAATTACTCTTTGTTGTATGCCCTCAACATTTAGTGAATTATTTGTGTACCCAGGAGTAGAAGGGAGGCACAGAACCTTAAGGAACAAAAGTTTCTAGAAGTAGATTTCTCATACCCACTTCTAAAATTCCTCTCCACCCAGCCTGCTGATGCAGGAAGCACTTGGTGTTTACATGTGGATCTCAGGGCCCCTGGGCATCACACCTGGATCAAGCTTGGGGGTTGGTTTACATCTGGAGTGCCATGGAGGCAAAAAACAAAAACAAAACAATGATCTATGACTCTCAGCTTGGTGGTCTGGAACTTCAAAGATGCTTTCAGGGTGCTGTTGGGACCTAAACTTTGTCCCTGGGTGCAGGATGCGGGGAATTGGGGGCAGCACTCCACCAACCTAGTGGACAGAGGAGCTGGGGCTGTGCTCCCCTAGCCCCGGGGAAGTCAGCAGCCCAAGGAGGCTGGAGCCTCTGCTCTCCAGCTCTGAGGTCCCAGCCTCTGCTCACCACAGGCACCACACCAGGCTCAGCATGGAGCTCCAGTGGAAGGGAAAGGGAGGATGTGTCCTGCAGGCCATAAAAGCCATTATTTTTAAGTATCTTTGTTATTGTTACATACAAGAGCAGCAGAAAGAGAAAGAAGAAGCTGAGGTCTCAGAGCTGAAGAGAAAGTTTGTGGACAGCAGCTACCTTGGGAGCATAAAACAAAGTTTTAGGGCACCTGGGCGCCCCCTCCATGTTATAACACATCCAAACTGTCCAAGACAGTTGTGAGAAAAGTTACACATGTGGTTAATAATCTGCCAGGTCACACTGCTAGGAGGTGGCAGGGTTGGGACCTGACCCAGATCTTCTGACCCTCTGAGTGCCCCACGGTCTCTGTAGAATGCTCACTGGCCGTGCAGCTACAGAGAGGTAGTAACATTGATTAAACATTTACTCTGTGCCAGGCACAGGTCTCGGTCGTCTACCTGAATTAACCCACAACAGTTCTATGTGCTAAGTAGGATCAGTATTCCCACCTCCCTGTTTAACCAACAGAGCCACAGGGAGGGAAACTAGGAGATGAATAAAAAAGCTTCCCGAAGATCACACTGTGAAAAATGCAGTAAGTGACAGAACAGGGACATGCAGAGAAAGGACTGAAGGACGTCCTTGCTGGTGTGTGTGTGTGTGTGTGTGTGTGTGTGTGTTGGCTGTGCATGTGGACACCAAAAACTTCTTAAAGGGCAGGAGAGGCCAGTGTGGAGAGCACGAGCTTCTCTGGAGTGCCAATGATGTTCTCATGGCAACAGCTGGCAAACACATCCCAGATACGACCTAGGCAGTGTCACCCGAGGCTCCATGGGTTTGCTCATGAAGGTGCTCTGGTGCCCAGTAAATGGTAACAGCGGCAGGTTCCAGGCCGGTGCATTAGAATCGGCTGCCTCTGCTCCACGGTGTATCTGCTTGTGCCAGGAGACCCAGCAACTCCCTTTTCCCGTAGTAAGAAAAACCCAACCAAATCAGCGAACCCTTTATCTCTTTCCTCCCCTAAATACCTATTCTGATTTACAAGTCAGCAAGGTACTTTATTAAGCTACAGTGACACTCACAGTGATGCCTGACAGTGAGCTGGCACATACTCTTGTTAAGAACCATTGCCTTGCTGGGAAACAAACATTGAATAGGGTGGCTTGTTGGGTGAATGTGGAAGCCAGGACAGGGCCAGCAGCTGGTAGAAGTGGCCAGTGAGTCAAGTACAAAAGACATCTGGGCAGCAGACAGAGCTGACCCTTTGCATAATTGAGCGGGTCATCATGTCAGGGTGTCTGAGGGACACGTGGGCCCTGCATGATGGACATTCATCACTTAGTGATGGGTAGAGCTGAAGATCTGGGGCCTCCATCAGGATGAGTCCACTGCAGAGCGTAAGTCCCTCACCCAGGGCTTCCTGGAAGGAGGAAAGTGTGGCTTGTCTGATGGAGATGCTTAGAGGTTCTACGGTGCTGCTTGTAATGTTTTGGCCCACATTTAATCTTATTTCTTCTCCATGGCATCAGGAAACCATGGCATGGGGAAAAGGGAGCTAAAACTGCCAGGGAGCTCTGAGAACCTGGTGCAGGTATTCCAGAGCGTGTCTCTTCTGGGTGCCAACTCTGTGTTCTGGAGCGTGTCTCTTCTGGGGCTGGCACTGGGACTTGTGCTCAGGAAGCATCCATGAGGCCATTTATAGATCATGCATGACACAGACTGATGCCAAGGGTGGTCAGAGTGGTCTAAGGAGAACAGAGCTGGAACTCAAGGCAGATGGGTGGGAAGCTCTGGAGCTCTGGTTCAGGGAGGGGTAGCCCATGGAGGACCTGGGCCTGGCCCCAGCCTGATGCTGGTGTTGGAGCAGGTACTCAGCCTCTCCAGGGCTCCATTAGTTGTGAAAATAGGAACACACGCCATCCAGGTGGTCTTGTATAAGGTAAAGGGCTAGGGCCCTAAAACTATTTTCTCTACTCTCTGCAAACTTCTGCAAGGCACTAATGCCACAGGCCTCTGATTCCCCGTAAATGGGATGAGGGCTTCCCTCACTGGGATGTGAGGCATAACCAACTGGATGCATAAGATATGTAGACTAGCTCCTGACACACACTCCAAAATACCCAATATTCTCATGACCCGCCACTTCCCAATGGGCACAGACCATCACCAAGTGCTGGTCCAGTGCTAGCCCACAGGTGGGGCGGGTACCTTACCTGCGGATGGTTCTAAGCAAGGTGGATCTCGCCTCATTGTGGAACGTGATGATGATGCTGGTGGGCGGAAGGTCTGTGTGATATCCCAGCAGTGTGCATCTGGAAAAGGAAATGGAAGATGAGTAAGACCGAGGGGCAAAGCAGATCTAAAGGGCTGAGAGAATGGGCATAAAGGTGGTTACCAGCACAGACATCTGTGGGGCCCCTGGCATCTGTGGGGCCTCCCCCACATAGCTGGGTTCCAAGAATGACTGAAGCTGAGTTTTTTCCACTTTGGAGGAAACTGGGCTTTAAAGCCAAACTAACCCAAAAGTTCAAAGAAAAATAAAATGTCATAGTTGGTATATGCCTGAGTTAGTGCAGGGTGATTCCAAGTAATTACGTTAACCCGCCTCTAAATTTTGGGTACCATCCCCAAGTCTGTGCCCCTCTAGACCTTCCTGTTCATGCCACCATCAGATGTCTCTTCATGTAGAGTCCTGGACACCAGATCCAGCTTACCACACACTGTGCTGACCCCTGGACCCCTGCCACACCCTTAAATCTGGCTGTTTAAAGGAGGCAGAGTCCTAAAGCCCTGGTGTACTATTAAAGCCCAATCTTGAGAAAGCATTCACTTCCATGTGTCTGGGATTATTCTGTATGGCAATTACATCTGGGGTAATTTCAATTTGATACCTCGCTGCAAGTGAAAATTGTAGCCCGCAGCCCGAAAATTACTATAATAATGGAAATAAACCTGCCAAGCGAGGCTGGTACCAGCCAGGGCCATCACTGGGGGAATGCTGTCTCTTGCTTCTTGCAATTTAAGGGGTTGCTGATGATGGGTGAGGTGGGAGGAGCAGAAGAGGAAGTAAATAACAGATGTGTGGGAAGTCAGACATTTGCTCTCTTTTTCCCAGATCTTCCCAGGGCTTTAATTGGGGCAGAGCTGGGCTTCCAGGGTACTGAGCCCTGTAAAATTGTTTGCAAACTATTTGTGCAAATGTGCCTTTCTTTTTTTTCTGGGAAGATGTATTCATAGTTTCACTAGATCCTTAAAGAGGTCTGTGACCTAAGATCCCCAGTCAGTGGGCCCAATGCCCTGTGGCTGTCCTGATGCCTTGAAGGCTTTGTTCTAAGGAAGCAAACACTGCAAGCTTGTGGTGGTGCAGAGATAGTTGGGTTGCTAGACTTAGGATCAGAGCAGGTACTGGGTGTGGGTCATCACAAGAAGCAGGAGTTAGGGAAGGAGGTCCCTGAGGAAGAGGTAATGAGTGGAAAGGTCATAGCCTGCAGGCCTCCCTGCCCTCCCAGTCATATCCTGTCAGTTCCAGCTCCTGGGGACACCCCTCCCACTGCCCATCCTATGACTTCAGCATAAGCCATCTTTCCACCACGGCAATAGCTGCCTCCTTTCCAGTCTTCCTGCCAGCCCTGTTCTGTCCACCCCGTGGCTCTGCCGGGCTCTCCTCCCAAGTCCAGCTCCAGATCAGTCTTTGAGGCCTTTTGCAATTAGTCTTCCATGCTGACATAACTCTCTGCCACTGCTCACAGGACTATAACCTCCCTTTTCCTATTTATCCTTTGGGACACAAAGCAAATATCCCTTCTGCTGCAAAAGTACTCTATACCCCCTGACAGGTACTAACCTGTCCTTTGTGCTTTCCTAACTCAGAAAGTTTCTCTTTCCTAGGATTTTCTTCGATAAGACTTCCGATTTTGACTGTGAGTTCCCTTAGGGAAAGATTCAAGGCCTTGTCCAGCTCTGCATCCGCAGAACAGGATTTAAGTACATCAGATCCCCATGGATGGAGAAAGGGAGTGAGAAAATCAGGAAAGGCTGAAGATCTATCGTTGTGTGGTTTTAAAAGCTGTGGCAGCCAGCCTCCCAGATGGCCTCTCCTGATAACCACTTCTGGTCTTCGCACCCTTTTGTAGTCGCCTGTCTCCCTCACTCAGGGCAGCGCCCATGACTAACAGGACATGGTGAATGGGTGACTTGCAAGGTTAAATCATAAAAGCTCTGCAGCCTCTGCCTTGACCATGTGGAGCAAAGCCAGCTGCCATGCTGTGAAGACACTCAGCAGCCCTGCTAGAGAGGCTCAGGCAGAGAAAAGACAAAGCCACCTTCCTCACACCCACATGAACTAGCCAGCCATGTGAATGAGCCACCTGAGAAGTGGGTCCACCAGCCAACGTGTCAGATGACAGCTGCTATCACATTCTGATTGCACCTAACCAGGACTCTGAGCTTGCAAATGCCCAGCCAAGATGCTCCAAGCTCCTGACCCACAAATACCGTGAAGAGGAGCCCTGACTTTTGTTGCTCTAAGCCATTATATTTAATCCTGGGTGATTTATTATAGAAACAATTATAAAAAGGAAGGGAAAATGCCTTTCAACAGTGCCACAGAGGCGTTGGACTTGCCTATCTTTTGACACAACCCTGACAGTGTTAGAAGCAGTGGGCAGGGGGAGGGAAGGTGGGACAGGGAACCTTGACTGAGAAGTTGAAGAGTTCATAAGGGCATGCAGGGGCTTGGCCAAGGGAGGACACAGTGAGCACGCTCAGTGCCAGGATGAATAGGGTGCAAGTCAAGGAGGGTGAGGGTAATCATCCACCTCTAAAGGGGGAGTAATAAGTTGGGGAGCTTTGCAGAGACTCCTGGTCTTTTTGAGAGGCTAGGAGAAACCGTGAACAGTCTTGGGACACATTCAGTGACTAAGCCCCAAGCTTCTCCATGCTGCTGTGACCCACACCCTAGACACTGCCTTGGAGCGGGTGCCCCCTTCCACGTGCTAGAGGCAGTGGGGCCCTTCGTCTCAGCTTTCATGGTGTCAGTTATACAGGGGAAAGCTGAGGGAGAGCAGTACTGCAGGCTGTCAGGTGCTCAGAGAGCTTCTGGGAAAGGGGGTCACGGTTCTTGTCTTGGAGACACCAGCTGGGGAGGCAAGTGTACTGATGCACAATGGCACAGAAGTGTGCACACACAGTCAGGGAGGGGTGGTGAGGAAGGCTTCGTGCAGGAGGAGCTGCAAGATTTCACCGATGAAGTAGGGATGGACAGACAGACACCAAGTTATAGCAGTTTCCAAGCTCCTGGTCTGGTGCTCTGCACCCCACCCACTAGTACATGACCTGGAGCAACTCATTCATACCTCTCTGGTTTGCTGGGGGCTCAGCTGTGAAATGGCTTGGCCTAAATCTATCCTGCTAAAGGGGTCACAGCATCAGCCATCAGGAGCTTTGACTACAACTGATATTCTCTTAAGTGTGGGAAATTTGAGCAGAATGTTGCAAATACTATTTCGCAGGTGAGACTATGTCACTGTGTTACCTGTGACTACTATGTCTCAGCCTCAGTTTCTTTAATATGTCTCAGGAAACTGGAGATAATGTCTAACTTGCAGATATTTTCTCCTAAATTATGAACATGTTAGGCAGTAATGGGTGCCTCCAAATAGGAACTAGCATTATTTCTAGCACTATTCCTCGTCTGCAGATGGGTCTTCCCAATGGGCAGAGCTGGATCCTTTGTGGGCTGGAAAGGGATCTCAGGTGAATGGCTCTCCCCTGTTCCAACAGCAGATAAGGGATGAGGAGGGCTGGGGGAGGGTCCAACAAGGGTTCATCAATGGTAGTGAAAGGAATTTGGATCTGATACTTGGATTTGAATCTGGATCTGTACAGAGAAGACTGTGTGCCCTTGGGCATGACATTTACCTTCCTTGAGCCTCAATGCTGTCACTTGTAAAACGTGGATAAATCTCTCCCTCCCAGGCTTTTGGTGAAGACTGCAGATAATGCAGGCAAAGCAATTGGTGCTGAGGACAAGGGAGGTGGAATTATAATCACATCTAGAAAGCAGCTGAGCTGGCTCCACGCACTGCACTGTGCTGATTTACTAGGCTCCATGCAATGCGCCACGCAGAGCTACTAGGCTCACGGTCACAGATCAGCAAAGGAAAGGATCTCGGAAATGACCCAGTTCAGCTCCCATACCTGGACAGAACGGGTGACACAGAGGCATTATCTGGAACCTGCATGACTGTCTCCTGTAACTATGAGGGAAGGATTCAAGCCCTACCTGGAGGTTGGCCAGGAAGCCCAGAAATTCCCCCAGCAGGTCCAGGTTTAGGGACAGAAGGCAGCAGGGCCAAGCCTCATCCACATAGGCTCAAAGGACTTCACCGGACTGTCCTCTTGTCCCTGCTACAGCTGACATTTTGTCTTATTTGACCCTTGCAATAGCCTGTGAGAGCCTCCTCTCTGCAGAGGAGGGAAACTGAGACTCAGAACTCACTCAAGGCCACACCCCCGGTGGATAAGTGTGGTCAGAGGGGCCCAAAGCCCCTTGACTCACTGGTCCAAGGCAAGGAGCCTGAGGTGCTGTGCTGGCAGGACCTACTGGTCCCCAAGTCCTGTGCTCAGGTCTTTATCATCTATCGCCCATCACCCATCACACAAGGACTGGCCTGCAGCCAAGTAGGGGACTAGAAACAAGGGCTTGAGGCTGAGAAACAGCCTTAAACCAGATGCCAGGGGGGAGTCGGCCCAGACAGTGGGCTTTCTGCGGGAGAACCTAAAAGATTAATCAAACAGCAAGATCTCTCAGGAGCACAAGGGCACCGGAGAAGGCGGCCGGCACCGAGGTCTGGCGCCGGCAGATGGACAAGAAAGCATGTTGATAATTTATTAAAGATTCAGAGTTTTTACTGGAGAGAAGAGTTGTGAGCAGGAAAGTGTGGCTTGGGGGAGGTGCTCCACACTGGCTCCCTGAAACCAGGAGGAAGTGGGGGGGAGGGTATTTGCAGTGTGGGAAACAGCAGTTCCTGAACAGCATACTGCTGGTTTCTTAGTTTTATTCTTTCCTTTTCCTTTTCCAAGAAAGACTCAGCAACATCTCAATTTCCCCAAGGTGGGGTGTAATGTATCTCCTGGATGCTCAGCCTCTGGGGTGTCCAGTGTCACTGGCTTGAGCTTCCGGGGTGGTATTTGAGATCCAACCTCGAGGCCTGATGGGGCAGGGGTGAGTCCCTCTCTCCTCTCCCCATTTGCCATCTCCTGCACCCAAATATGTGGCAACTTGGGTACATTCAAAAGCTCAGGGACCATCACTGTCAGTGATTGCAGTAATGTGTTTCTTATTTTTTTCTTTTTATCAGTACCGGGGATCGAACTCACGACTGCCTGTTTGCAAGGCAGGTACTTATGACACTGAGCTAAATCCCCAGCCCCTAGTAATGTGATTATGTATACAATGCCTTTTATTTTATTCCCCAAGCTTATAAAATACTACAGCAGCCTATACGGAAGATGATTATCATGGCCACTTCCATTTTATCAATAAGCAATAAAGGCTCCGGGTGGTCCCACTGCTTGATGGTCCTGGCAGGAGCCAGGGCTGGGGCTGGGACCCTGGCTCTCTGTCTATAAGACACATGGCCCTCCTGTCACTGCATGCTATCCCCAAACCTGAGAACAAGGCATAACTTTCCTGGTTTACAGTGATGACTATATCCACCCCATAGAATGTGTCTAAATTCCTACCTGTTGAAGCCTCACTGCCAAGTACTGTACTGAGCTCCTGGCATATTTAAAGTTCACAAGAGTCCTGTGAGGTGGTCACTGCTTTACAGAGTCACTGCTGAGGAGACTGAGGACCACAGAGACTAAGTGGCCTCTGAAGCTCATGAAGGAGTGTAGAGTCCAGGCCTGCTGGACCCAGGGTTAGAGCCCCGTACTGTAACACCCTCATGTGAGCCCTGCCCTGCCGTTACCCAGGTCTACTACACAGGCTCCCTGTGGTACTGTGGCACCAATGGGCCCATGTTCAAATTACATTGCAGAGTAGCAATTTCTACTGAGCTCTAGAAACCACAGGGACTTGCCCAGAGAGACAAGCTGCCACTCTTGAGTGGTGACAGAAAGATGAGGAAACTGCTGGCTGAGACACTCAGGGGACATTCTAACAGGGGCTCCCACAGAGTGTACTGGAGCCTTCAGGACAGGAAGATGCATCTCAGGGAATGCGCTGGGTGGGCCAGTTCCTGAAGGTCTGTCCCTAAACAGAACGTGGGATTTCCTCCCAGGTCCTGTACACCCAGAGCACACTGCAAAGGTCAAACCCAGGCTGAGGTCGTGGATAAGTTATCTCCTCCATATGCTCTATTTCCCTAAACCCCATAGCCAGTGAGGCAAAAGGAAGCACAGACCTAAGACATCCAGGGGAGATGATCTTCCGGGGAGACAGTACCTTGTCCCCAAAGGAGTAGTACTCTGTAGATTCCCCTACCCCTTCTGACTACATCTCTCTCTGTGTTAATAGCTCAGAAGAAGCCTCAAATGATTCTTCCACGTTCTCCCTTCCTTCTTGGCCAGACGTGTCCAACGTAACGCTGATTTATGTGCAAAAGATATGTAGAGGGAGCTCTTGGCTCAGTTCTTGGTTCTCCCAGGACAGGGGACAGTGAACTTGCTATGCGCTTTCAGAATCACAGACTACACTGTTTTGGAGCTGAGAACATCTAATCCATCCCAGGCTCTGTTCTTATATAAGGATACCTGCTCTCAGCTAGAAGAAAATGGAATATGAAAAAAAATATATAAAATGCCAACTCTATGACTGACCCCTAGGTTCGCATGAACTCATCTCTTCAGAAGAGAAAAACTAAGCAATTTGACAACTGTAAAATCAGAAATTCCTTTTAATCTCATTTCATGGGCAACACTGATACACTGGAAGGCATGAAATTTTTATTTCATGTCAATTTCACTGGGATTTCACATGCAGATTAATTTGTTCTTCCACATAAACATATACTGCTCCAACTTCTTGCCTCAATAGCCACCTTCTCTCACTCGTGTTATAGAATTCCTGTCTCTTACAAGACCCTAAAAGTAATACTGAGATTTGCTACCCCATTACAATGCCTCATTCTATATTATTAAATTCTAGTACACTCAGAAAGCAATAAGCAGGCTAGTGCAGGAAAGTAAACTTTTTTTTTCTTTTGGTACTGGGGATCGAGCTTATGACCTTGCACTTACCAGGCAGACACTTATGCCACTGAGCTAAATCCCTGGCCCTAGAAAGTAAACTTCTTAGAAATTTAGTTGGGCACTGTGGTGGGCAGGTTGAAAGATGGCTCAGAATCCTCACCTTCTCTTGAGCATGGATGAGCCTGGTGACTTTCTTCTAAGGAACAGAATATGGCTAAAGTGGTGGAATATCACTAGTGCGTGGAACAGTACTAGAGATTAAACACAGGGCTTTCACATTGAACTATAATCACAACCCTTTTTAGTTTTGTTTTCTTGGTTTGTTTGTTTTTTAATTCTGAAACAGGATATACTAAGTCACTAAGTTGCCAAGGTGGGGCTTGAATTTGTGATTCTCCTGCCTCAGCTTCCCAGAGTGTCACTTTTGTGATTAGATTGCACAAGACTGGCTTGCACACCTTGATTAAGCAAGCTGCCACATTGGCCAGCTTCCCCATTCCCATTCAAAGAACTGAATCACACTGAAAGCCACATGAGCAAGCTTGGAACAGGATCTTCTCCCATTCAGGCCCTAGGATGAATTTGGCTCCAAATGAGTCCTTGATAGGACAGACTCCTGTGCCATGCCAGGGCTCCAAGCACAGAACTCACCTATGCCATGCCAGGGTTCCTGACCTACAGCAACCATGAGATGACAAATGACGAATTTTAAAGCACTAACTTGCTTAGGATAACTTGCTTATACACTAATAAATGAAAAGGACAGGCACTTAGGTACCTAAAAATGTCCAGCAGAGTTTCTCACTCCTCTGGGTGAAAGGCAATTCCCTTGGTACTATACTTACCAAAAGAGCCATGCAACCGATCCCTAACTCCTAATCCCCTCTTCTCCATCACACTGTGGTCCCAGAGCCTCACGGGACCCTTTATCTCCATTCTGCTGGCCTCTATTCACAAGATGATGACACTAAGGGGTCCTGGAGCTCCTAATCCAGAGGGAAGTTACTACCTGAGTGATTACTTTCTCATTTCTCCCAAGGATGTTATCTGACTAGGGCCATTCACATGCATAGGAAAGGAGTTGATTTGTTTCACACAATAGGTGTCCTGTGACTGTAGGGCTGAAGTTTCTTGCAGAAACCCAGTTAAGAAAGGTCATCTTAGAAGCTACCACAGACATTCCTCTCTTTCCAGAGCACCATGTCATGGCCAGGACACTTGGTCTCAGTGTGGGCCTATTAAGGCCACCATATGCAATCCCTTGCACCTAACCACCATCACAGTTGTGGTTGAGTCTCTGTCAAATGAACCAGCTCAGGGTCTGTGATTCACTTCTTGCTTGGAAGTGAATCTTCCTTGGAGAATCCTTTCTGGACTTTTTTTCAGCTTTAGTAACATGGGATTTTTAAGAAAACCTACAACTTGACACTTTTAAACCACTTATGCTGTTTGATTAATTGTAAGTTATAGATCAAATGGTGGCCCCAGAAGTCAGTAAGTCTTTTCTTTTGGCAGTGTTAGAATGCCCATTGGGGTCTGTCCTGACAAACTAGGACTAGGAAAGGGGTACATTATGTGAGACTATACTGTCCAGTTTTTCTTAAAAATTCAATCTCTGGGTCTTACTTTTGGACTGCCATCAGCTTGAGGACACTCCTCCTTGCCTTCCAACAAAGTCCTAGGTAGCTGCAATGAACTGCAAGGACAGCTGAGTCTCCTCCATGGGTGATGTCTATGCATACTTGGTGAAAAACTAAAAAAGGTTCAAATAAGTTTGGTAAATGAGAAATACTAGATAAATATTGCATTAGCACCCTTTTTGATGATTCACCACTGCACGAGCCTGTTAAAGGTTTTAAGAGTTCTTCTAGCCTACTATTTACCAAACGTCCATCTCAAAACCTGCCCTATCCTTTTCTCTAAACTTTTTTCTTCTTTCTAGAACACAATCCTTCATACTGCATGAGAACTCAAATACTTACTGCGATATTACACATTTAGTGAAATAATACATATTCTACCAGACAGAACCATGATTAGAGAAGACGGGCACCAGTTGCTTCCTTTTTTATACATGAGGTAAACCAGGGGCCAGCACAGCGAACTGCCTGCCCAAGGCCAACTTCTAGCAGCAGAGCTAAACTCTCTTTGATCTTAGCAAATGAACTCACTCAGTTTCCTTGAGGCACTCGGACAAAGAGGCCCCAGCTTCCAGACCCAGCCCACCCAACATGATGAGCCATCACTGCATTCATGTGGCCTCTGCCTGCCACAATACTCCAAGCAAGGACTCTATAGCTTCTCCATATTGTCACATCTATTAGAAATTGTGTGGCCTTTATCTTTGCATTAACAGCCCCACATTTCATGAAGTGCTCAGCTCAGTCTCTGACCCTGGTGAGGTAATCCAGCACAGCCAGCCTCTTCTTAGGCTCTTTTGGATTTTCCTTATCTTCCCTCATCCTAAATTCTGTTATTCCCACCACTATCTCCTAGGTCATTCTCTCTCAGTCCTTCTTCTTTCTGGATCATCTTACTTGTCTCCAAAGCTTCAGTTTCCCCATGTGCTTGCTAATGACCCCAGCGCTGAAGCGCATCTGGATGAACATTTTCTCCTGAATGTACCTATGAATGATTTCTTCACCCGTCTTCTGCTTCTGTGTCTGCAGTTAGCACCCAAGACTGCTAACTGCTGACCCTCTGAGGATGTTTCTCTACATTCCCAACATGTCTTTTCTAAATAATTGCAGCAACTTCCTAACTAGCTTTATCCCTTTCCAATCTATGCTGGGCACTGTAGCTAGCATGATTTCTCTAAAACTGCGTCTTTTATACCTTTCAAGTCTGCTGAACCGATCACAAAACAAAGTTGAGATTCCTAGTCATGGCTTAGACTAAAAGGCCCTTTTCCCCCCGGCCTGCCATTCCCTCTAAACTCTAGCCACATTCTGCTTGACTTGCTCTTTGTCTCTTCTGGATTCGGTAGGTATCATCTCTTTCCCATGTATCCCTGTGATGGCTAATCTTAATTTTCAACTTGAATGGGTTGAAAGTCACCCAGGAAATTAGTAATGCATGCTCCTGGGTCTGTGTGGGGGAGCCCTGGGTCTGGAGAAGGCGTCTGGTCCCTGGCCCCTTCCTCTTGGATTGTTCTTCCCTGTTCTGTGATTCTTGTCTGTCATGAGTTGGGCAGCTTTCTTCTGCCATGCCATTGGATCTAGCTAAGCATGGAATAAAACCTCTGAAATTGTGAGTTAAAATAAACCTTTTCCCCTTTAAGTGGTGCATGTCAGGTATTTTGGTCACAGTGATGGAGAATATACTAATACAGCCTGAAATACGCTCTCTGAAACCTAGCTATTTTTTCCACTTCTAACTTTGACTTAGAAGTTACATCCCATGGGGAGCATTTCTTGACCTCCCAAGGCCTTTCCAGTGCACCTCTTTGGGCTATGCATTCACTCCACTACTGCAATGTATTACCCACTGCTGGAAAATCACTTTTCTGTCTTCTCTACTGACTGCTGCTACAATGAAAGCAAAGACTTATTTATAGTTTTAACCCCAGTGTCTACGTCGGTGACTAAACACAGGAGACACATGACAGACATCTGAAGAATGAACGGATGGATAAATGGGCCAGAATCAGGTGAGGTTTCCATGAGACAGAAGGGACAAACTCCTTGGCCAAGGTATTGGCAACGCAAGCACAAGGGCGCTGTAGTTAGCAAAAATCAAGGTCCAGAATGCAGTAAAAAGAAGTTTAGACAAATAAGTAGAGCAGAAGAAGAGCCTAGAAGCTGATTTAGGGAGAAAGGGTGGGGGAGCACAGGGAAATCTGGCCTAAGGTGGTGCTAGGATGACATTCTGGATTATGTTTGGTGTCTTTGGAGTGATTTTAACTTCTGTTACTCCAGAAATATTCAGCTAAGTTTAAAAGCTTGCATGCTTTTCTTCTTTACCAAAGTCCTGTGAAAGATGAGCAGCACCTCCCAACTAGTCAGAAGGGCTAAATCTCATTTGACTATGGCTCAGAGACTTCCACACAGGCACTCCTACACGGCAGCCCCTGGCCTCATGTTGCTACTGAGCATTTGCAGTATGTCCAGACTTAATGGAGATAGACAGTAGGTGTAAACTGTATGCAAGATTTCATGGACTTTGTATGGCAAGGAATGTAAAATATTTCACAAGTCTGTTTTCACACTAATTACATGTGGAAATGATAATATTCAGATATATTGGAGTAATCAAGATAGATCATTACATTTTACTTGCTTCTTTGGGTTTTTTTAAAACACGGTTTCTAGAAAATTTTTAGTATCTCTGCTGGACATCATTGTCCTACAGGGGTTACTTAACTTTAATTTGCATATTATTCAATTTAAAATGTCAACTTCAGTGTTAGACAATGGTCTCCACGTGTTGGATTCTTTTGCATGAATAAAACAAAAATGTTATAGAACCATTGTTAGCTTTATGACATTTTAAAAAAATTTTAGGAAAGAATATGCTTTTGAAAGTCCCATCATAATTCCATAAAAGGATACTTTAACACCAGAAAAGACCACAATCTCAGAATAATCAATAGTTCTTTAAATTGTAAAAGTTAGTTCTAAGGAAATCTCAACTCCAGGGATCCAAACTGCACTAATTTACCAACTGGCATCTGAAAGTATAGTTCAAAAGGTTCATGATGTACCTTTGCTGCTGTCCTCAGCCAGCAATACAAATACTAACATAGTAAACAAGACAGCTTCCATGCTTTGTTCTGGGACCAGCAGACCCAACTCTGTCGTTAGTAGCGCTGATGCGAGAAGATAGAACTTTTCTAGTCTGTGGCCGTTGGTCTAGGTTCAGTGATGGAGAACATTTTAGGGCTTTCAGTGACACAAACAGCCCCCTGGGGCATGCACGCCATGGGCTTACCACCATTGGTCCAGGTCATGGGGCCCTCTGCTGCCCGTGCAGGTGCAATCTGGGCTTGGAATGCCCACATGACCCAAAAGACACAGACTCCTCTGGATGCATTAGATCTTCTAATCAAAATCCACTGTGCACTTTCAGATAAGTAATTTTTGCCGGCCCTTGGGAAGCAAGTGGAACACACTTTGGGGGGAACCTATGAGGCAGAGGTTGTTTCTACTCCCCAGCAAGGTCAGCAGCTCTCCAAATGCTGCAAAGAAGAAACACCTGGAATCGTGCCAGGACCTGGGCCAGCACCACACAGATGGCAGCGGTGTGTGCACACATGTGTGCATGCACATGTGTGAGCACAGGAGACTGCTGACCAAAGATAAAAGCAGAACCTTGCTGAGATCAGAAAAGGTGGGGTGGGCTAGGGCTTTTTTCTGCGATGTTTCCTGAAAAATATTCCTCAGTACCTAAGACCAGTGCTCCTTCATGTCTTATTTTAGCCTGCTTGAATCACACTGCACCACAGTAATAATAGATAACAATTATTGAATCCTCACTCTGTTTCAGGTGCTCTTCCTAGAACTCTAAATCTGCACAATAATTCTCAAGGGTGGGTACTATGATTTCTCTTCTCTCTCTGGGAGGAGACTGCGAGGTTATGGTAAACAGCAGCCTCAGAGTAAAACCTGGCCTTCTGGTTCTGGATTCTCTGCCTCGCCAGTTCCACCAGGAAACCCATTAGGACCATCCAGACTCGCTGAGTCTCAAGCCTTATTTAGTGGCCTTTCTCTCCATCTTCTGTCTTAAAGGTTCAGTGATGGATAATGGCCTTTCTCCATCTTAAGTCTTAAAGACTGTGTTCGAAGGTTCTGGAAAGTTGGAAAACCATGGGGCTGAGTGTCTCTTACTTGCTAAAGAAGGACATTTTCTCCTGATGTAACCCCGGCACTATTTATTTCATAGGCCTTTTAGCTAAAGGCTCAGAGAACAATGCTCCTTCCTTCTGTGTAAGCAGGGAAACTTCCTTAAGAGGAAGCACCAGAGACCAGACCTATACACTACGTATGACTGGGGTTGAGGGGGCAGATTCAGCACCCCAAGCTCAGCAGTGGTCTGCTGGAGAGTCAAGTTCTCATACCTCTTCTCCAGGGACTCTCAGTGTGTGAAAGTCTGAGGAAAGGGTACCATGCAAAGGGCCCGCGCCTTCCTATAGTTAGACCATCTCCAAGTCAATCCCAACTTGGAACCTGCCTTTGTCATCACTCAATTCCATCCCCCAAGCTTACCTTGTGCCTCAGCTCCACCATCCAGCTTCCAAAAATTCTTCCTGCCCAAAGCCCCTGCGCGCCAACCCTTCCTCCTCCCCGTTTTCACGGCAACCTTCCTAAGGCACTGTCTTCCCCGTGTGACTCTCCCCTACCTGCAGATGCCACTTGAAGCCAAATCTTGATCAGCATCCCAGTTCCTCTCCATGGAGTTAATACTGCAGTCTTACATGCCGCCCTCTGTCCCACTTCTCCCGCAGAAGCTTTCAGTCCCGGCCAAACCATCCCACGCATAGTTCCATAGCCATGGCCTGTGTCGTGACCTCCACACCTCCCGGTTCCTACCACTTCTGGGCTGCCTGCTGTTCAGCTCAAGCCACTTACTCCATCGCGCTCTTTGTGGGCTGCCTGGTGCTCCTAGTCCCTTTTCACACAGCTGTTTATTGTCCTAAGAAGCCCTTCTCTGCTTCTTGTAGGCAGGGCCACCATTCTACCTCTCCACATTCCTATATGCAGGCTATGCAAACTACTGGCATCAATTTTCTCTTCTCTAAAACCAGGGTCATGGCAAAGTTGTGAGGTTTAACCAAGAGAACATATATAAGATGCCTACCGCATGTCAGGGGAGCAGTATGTCAATACATGTTTGCCAATTATGGTCTTGGATTTATGGGCAAACATGAGAATTCTTTACGGAGTGAAAATGGCTTTAAATTTCCTGTGATTTGATTTTCTAGCTCTGTTTTGAGGATTCACGCCCAGTTCTGCAGTAAATGGTTAGAGAATCTATTCACTGAGCCAATACTGAAGGAGAAGTCCAAATGTCAGACTCTCCACTGGGCTCTGGAGTCACAGAGATAAGGCAGGTGCCCTGGCCCATATTGTTCGAGGATTGGGAGACTAAAGATTGCAATGCTGGGCGGTGAGTGCTGCCCAGCGTGGGCATGCAAATACACAGGGGATGCTGAACTCAGGCAAAGGGGACAGGTGCCATTCCAGAAAGAGGACTCTCCATCTAGATTCTTGAAAGATGAAGGAGTGTCCTACATAAAGAGGGCAGCAGAGAATAAGAGGCCCAAATCCTCATGGCCTAGATGGTAAACAAGCCTACTGGTGGAGGTGGACACAAGCAGGGCTGTGAGCAGATAGCAGTCAAGGGTGTCCAATGAAGTACCTTGCGTTGGGAGGCTCTTGAGGGGGTGGGAGTTGGGGGTATATGTGGGAGTTAGAGCTTGGCAGTGACCACAAGAGGTGGACTGAATGGAGTTGAGAAAGGAAGATGGCCTCATAGATGTAGGCTTTATTCAAAGAGTGAATGGGAATACCTGACCTTGGAGGGAGCAGATCTCAGGATGAAGAGGAGCTTGCTTGGAGAGGCAGCCATGGCTGGCTCAGTGAGGTTGGGGTAAGGAGTAAAGGAAGTATCTATATGCTGCATCAAGAAAAGGCTGGGAAAGACAGGAAACAGGAGAAAGAGGTAACTTGTCTGCTCTGGGCTGCTTTACAGGTACTACGAGGTCAGACAGGTTAGAAGATGAGAGTGGTTTGACGAAGATAAAGCTTCAGTCACCACACTGGGCTCCTCTTGTGACCTCAGGACACCCAGGGTAGACTCCAGAGGCACTGACAGACCTTGCCCCGCATCGGCCCAGGGGGTTCTGGCTGACCAAGTGATTCCCGCCCCAAGCCTTCTCTTGTTAGTTGCCTACACACAGTTGGTCTTCCAGCCGCCTGGGCTGCACATGGCTCTCCTCGCACCATCCCACTGTCTGTCACCACGGGAGGCTCAGGCCCTCCTTTCCATAGTTTCTCCCACCCCCGGCTGTCATCTCCGCTCCTGCTCTTTTCATCTCTTTCAAACACATTTTGTACTTGCTGGCCCCGGGCCCTACATCCCTCCTTCTGCAGGCCTTGGCTCTCATCCTCAGCATCTTCCAAATACAAACTTCGCAATTGCCTCATCACTGATTTTGCTTTCCAGTTTTTAAAGTAAGTGTGACATTCAGGCAAGTGGAACTCTCGGTGCTGGAGCCAAGGCTGAGCCAGGAGCTCATAAGGAACTCCCTGCCCACATCTCGTTCTCAACTTAGCCCAGCTCCCATGAGCCATAGCACTGTGACTCAGAGGGGAGCAGACGCTCACCCAGGACCTCCCCAAGCTCATCTGCATCTGTCCCCTCTTTCTCCACTCTAGATCTGTCCCCTCTCCACCCTAACTTCTTGAGGAGCTTTTCTTTTTTTTCTACAGCTGTAGAATAGTGAGGAAAGATTATAGGGCCTAATGTCAAGGCTGATCCTGGTGGCAGAACTAAGCTGACCACTCACAGCCATGGCTAACGGTCACCAAGGACTTCCTAGACATTAAAGACTATGCTAACAACAACAAAATAGCCAATGCTCAATGTTTTTTATGAATTATTACACCTCCCTTTGGGTACCATCATGGCTCTTGTTTCACAGATTAAGAAACTGTGTCATGGGGAGTGTAACTTACCTAAGGACCAGCTAGTAAGTAGCCGAGTTGTTTGACCTCAGACCTCACAGAGCTAGAGATCAGGCCCCACCTTAGTCTACTAGTTTCCGTACTTCAGCCTCAGCTTCCTTCCTGACATGGCCATAATCTACGTGCTCAAGGGCTGCTGATGCCGTCACAAGAAAGGGACGGGAAAGCATTTCAGAAAGTCATACATAAACATAAGGCATGGATAGCCTTATTCTGAGGACTTATTTTAGGGTTCAAGGTTTTATTTATGAATATTGCCCCAAGTACTCTGGTCCCAGCCCCAAGCATCCTCAGGATTTCTTCCGGTCAGTTCTACTTGTTTCCTACCAAGATCAGAGACACATACCTTAAGTCACACAAGACAATGGTTCTGTGAAGCACGGAAGGGAAGTAGCAGTGGCACATGACAGTGTCCTGGGTATTTAAGGGAAGAGGCCTCCCCATTCTAGCCTGAAGAGCAGGCAAGTGGCTACTGCGTGCAGTCAGGCTGCTATCCATGAGCTGTGCAAGCTGCCAGAGAAAGGCCCTGTTGCTGCTGTTGTGTTCCTAGATCCAGGGCTTTCAGACAAGAGAAAGAACATGTCAAAGTAGCCTATACTTGTGTCTCAGGCTGGAAGCATCCGGTGTCCTCCAGAGAGAGGAAGACATGGAGAGTAGCGAGGGCTGGTACAAGGAAATGGACAAGCCAGCAATAAAAAAGGACTGCACTAATGGTACTGCAGGGCTCTTGAGTCCTGTTAGGAAGAGGAGTGTGTGAGGGGAAAGATTAATTCAGGGATGG